CCCCCCCTATACTTTGCTGGTTTGTTGTTTTTTTTTTTTTCCTTACAAAAGAAAATATCCATATAATTTTGTTTGTCTTAAAGTAGAAGAGTGGGAATTCTGCATGTTTTCCTGTCCCTTTACTCAGACACTACAGGAAGTCATGGCCTCTGCTGTCAACTTTCCTGGACATGCAATAAAACAAAACTTTATATATTCCCATGTAAATGAAATCACTAATCCCATCATTTAGCTGTTTTTATGCTTCCGCAGTTCTAGCATCCACACAGGCATAATTTGACTCTATACCAGCCCATCATGGTAGGCATGTTGATGCTTTCAAGTTTGCATTTATGTGAAACGTCCAAAATGTCTTTCTCTTTGGTGTTAGTTTAGTGTTTTATTTGTTCTTTTTTTGTCTACCTCAATTGGTCCTTTTGTTAGTTGATAAAAACTCTACTGTCACTCCATTATCCCATAAAAGTGCTAAGCTGTTCTTGTTTGTGTGACTTGAGACATCCTTCTCATAAACCAGATTTTAAAATGTGGTGCTGGTTTAACTGTGCAGGTTCATAATGAATGCATATGAATATGTATATGAAAAGCTTTACTGAGGAATTATGCACGTAGGAATGCTGGAGCCAGGAGTCGGCAATCAGCCATCTTGCTTGCTCTGACTTTAAAAGAATTACATAAAAATGTGGTTTTATCCTCAGTACTTCCTCATCTGTCTTATCAAAATTAGCCTTTATTCTCGTAAGAGTGAGAAACAAACAGTGCTTGTATTTTCTGATTTTGAAGACACTTCTGAAGCAACCAGTGGAGACACATGGGTGAAAGAATGAAAATATCCACAATGACCCTGAATCTTTCAGTGGCAGTATGTGGTGAGGACCTCTTGGCTGGGCATCTGCCCACCACCCCAGGCTCCCTGGGGGAGGTGTCCATGCCAGCAGTGCAGGCGTTCCCTGCGGTTCTGGTGTGCTAACGGCTGCGTGTGGGTAGGCATAAATTGGTGGCAAACAAAGAAAAAAAATGAGCCGCGTAGGCCTGGGAGAACCGCAGTTATATAAAGGTGAATGATGAAACATTACTTCTGAATTGGGTATTTTGAAGGACTGTTACCGCAACACTTTTTATATAAATGAAAGGTACATTTGAATCGGAAGCAATTTGGTGTAGAAACGTGCTAGTGACTCATCCCAAACCTGAGGGGAAACAGAGCTAGTGCAGCACAGAGATATTTTTGAGCGCTTGCATAGTATCTGCTTCAGACTGAAGTTAAATTTTCATCAGTTAATCCAAGAGTGGAAGATATTAGAACCCTTCTCCAACACCACTCCTGTTATCATCCACTAGCATGGTGCATATTCCAGTTCAGGCATCCTCACTGCCATTGCAATTGCATCAGGTAGATGCCATTACTAGGTAGTTTCCTGAATATTGCACAGATTCTGCAAAGCTCATGTATTTTACTACCAATGCAGTAACAATGTATTTATCAAGTGTTTCCTTTCATGAGATTTACAACATGTTGAGTACTCATGGCTTTACAAAATTCTTTATCTTCTTTCTAGAACAAAATTTTTTTCTTTGCTTAATTCAAAGATTTATAAAAACATTTAATGAATCAGGTTGACACAAAGATTGCCATGTAATTAGAAAACTTTGGCATTTTGCTCTTTTGTGTTTTTATGCAAGCTTAAAATTGCCCTGTCATCTACAAAAATTACTTTAATTTGTACCGCATTGTTGGAGAAAACTATAGTTGGAATAAGACTTGATCTCATGCCTTATAGAAGGAAAACAGTAGTTGGATTTGTGTGCAGGAACATTTTAATATGAAACATCTGACTAATTTGAACAATGACTGTAAGAAAATACCATGTCTTTTATATAATCTGGCTTTTACTGTCCCTTTAAAATGGCTGTATGTATATCAAAGCTAAATGTCAACAGATACAATTTTGTGATATTCCATTAACTGGCTTCTGTTAGATTGCCATATTATAAAAAGAAAGGTATGTTAAAGAAAAATTCTGTTTAGTAGAGTCTGAAAGTTGATAATCTGTCCTCAGTCCCTGCTTGTTCTTGGACATCCTGTGTTACGTTGGTTTTACCTGGTATAAGAGGACAGGATGCATCTATCTATAAATCTATTGCTAAAACTAACTTAATATTTCAGACCCACATACATACTTAACACACTGACCCACAGCTCCTGGGACTGAAAATAAGAGTAATTGTGTCTGGAGAACAAAAACCAGACTGTAGTTGGTAGATGGAAATATATCTTCTCTGCGGGTTGGGAATAGCTTGGGCATCTGGCAAACGTGAGGAAATGGCTAAATAAACAAAGTAAGGACAGCAAATAATAAACTCTTACAACATATTGCTTAAATCTCTGTCCTTTTTGGATTACGTGACACAGTTTCTTGCTTTGGTAGTGGAG